CAGTTGAGTGGCCTTAGCATATCATTAGCATATTACACTTTAATTGGTTGAATGACCAACTAGACAACCAGACACTTAGCATATTAGGTTTTTATTATATAGGATAATGTACATACCATACAATTAACCTGTTTAACGGGGACAATTGTACATTTTTTAGAATAGTCACAGAGTTGTGCAACTATCATAATTTTAGAATATTTTAATCATCCCCCAAAAAACACTATACCCATTAACAGTCCCTCCCCAAGTTCCCCTCCCGACCCCGCCTCCCAAACCCTAGGCAACCACTAATCTTTTATCTATCTGTATAGATTTGCCTATTCAGGATATTTCATATAAATGGAATCATATAATACATGGTTCTTTGTGACTGGATTCTTTCACTTAGCATAACTTTTTCAAAGTTCAACCATGTTGTAGCATGTATCAGTGCCAGATTCCATTTCATTGTTGAATAATAGTCCATTGTCTGATTATACCACATCTTATTTATGCATTTATTAGTTGATTAACATTTAAGTTGTTTTAGCTTCTTAGTAATTATGAATAATGCCTCATGTAAACTTTGAATATCATTTAATAGTATGGCATAGTATTATAGGGTTTTTATTTGTTTGTTTGGCCTGTGTTTAACACTTGATTATAACCTCTTTATGAACAGAAACCATCATTTTCACTCCATAACCTCCACATAACACGTATTCAGTAAGTGTTTTACAGATGGATGGATGAATGGACAGGTACTATAGGTTCTTATTGTTTCAATTATCATACCAGTACTCAGAATAAAAACATCAGAGTGGACCAGTAAATTTACCCAATAAATTATAAAATTCCAACACTGGTGGTTCTTAAATAATCTTTAATCTCTGCACTAGTTTCTGGACCTGCACACAGGATACTACAGTTGATTATTTCATGGAGGCAGCTCCTTGGCTAATAATATTTGTGAACTGAGTGGACAGAAGCCCCCAAAACACCAGACTTTTTCTCTTAGATTAACTCCACAGTATCTTGTTGTTCTTGGCTTGACTGAGGTTATTATTCTAGTCCAGAGTGATGATTCGAAAGCCTGGCTGAGCATCAGAATCCCTCATGGAGCTTTTTCAAGATACTAATTACCCAGGTCCCACCTCCCAGATTATGATTGTGTATCTTGGGTAAACAGCCAGGTACTCACATGTTCCAGAAACTATAAAGGTACATCTGATGCATAGCCAGGTTCAAGAATTCTTACTTCAAAAGTTGCCCTGAGGTTAAAATAACTTTATAGAACATGTCTGAGCACTTTACTCTTGGAGAGTATTTTACTTATCTTAGGATCATGCCCACTAATACTACCTAACATATATAAGGCACTTTTTGTTTGGAAAGAGTTTTGTAGTCATCTTTTATTATCTAGGCATGCATGCTGGGTGACCTTGTACCAATCACATAATCCCTTCATGTCTCAAATTTCTTCAAATATAAACTGTAGGTGGTGATTCTGACCAATCCTCAAGCGGTATTGTGGAGATTAATGGAGGACTGTAAAGCACACAAAAATATTTACATCCATGCTTATTAGGAAGGTATGAAGTCCTAGTCACTGCCTTTTAAAATAAAACAAATACCAAAATAAACTATTAAACAAGCCTTTCCACAACCTTCATCATCATCTGAAAGATCCTTTCCCAGCTCCAAAGTACAGCAATTCCCCCTCTGCACCAAGACTAATAAACAGACACAATCTGCAGTCACAAAGAAAACAGAGCTAATGGATGGCAGCAAATAAATATATAAAGCAGCCCTGAAATGGAGTTTAACCTCATTTATCACTCACAGTGCAATTAAACATTATATCTATAAATACACTCTTCTGAAAAATATTTTGTTTTTAATATTCTTGTAAAACATTTGTGCATGTTCACATAAGTCTTTAAGGTAATGCTACATACTCACCGTTGACATTAAGCCTGAAGTTGTTTTCTAGTTTGCTGACAGTTTTTACATGGCTATTAACCTCTTCCCATCTCCCCCACATGACTGAAAGAATATATGGTCAAAGTGAGACCTTAAGATTTATCTCAGGTTGGGGGTGCATGAGAATGGAAAGGCAAAGGAAGAGCCTCCAACCTCAGAACCAGAGACAGGTCTTGTATGGATGATGACCCTCAACCAAGGTCTCGTTTACATCATATTTTCAGCTTCTTGGAAACAAAAGTCAGAAAACAGACTTGGATTTTCCTTTTTTTCCATTTTGCTTTGAAAGGACCACAGAATTTCAAGAGCCAGGTCCAATTACATATTCCAACTCATTTATAATTGAATGATTTCTGTGACTCTGAAGGACAATTAATGCCCTCACACCCACCATAGCTGATTCGAGCCACACATCCTAAGCAAGCATGACCTTTCTGGGACTACTTGACCTTGATCACAATCTTTCCCCTCTGTGCTTCAAAGGGTTTGGGTTGTATTCCCAAGGGCAGTTGTCTGCTTTAGTTAACCTCAGGACCTGCTAACAATTAAGTGCTATTAAACAAATATGTATTGAGTACATACATCTATAAATAATACTGTAGTGCTAACTGTGGAGGCTACCAAGAATTCCTTGACATGCTTACAGGATTGCTATAACTCAATAATCTTGGGTTCTTGAGTCAGGTGAAGACCAACAACCTCCTCAAAGGGACTCCTAAGGTTTGGTCAGTGGACATGCAGGTTCCCTGGGGACTCCTAGACTGGCCTTCAGCAGAAATCAAGCTGAAATATATTTTACTTCTCACATAATGTTTTTCTACCTGCAATATCCTACAAACCTCCACCAGAATTCAGAAGCTCCCCTGAAAAGAGCCTCAATAAGGGAGCCTCATTGGTTGGGAAAATTACTTATTATGCATAGTTATTGTTTTTTAAAATAAGGTTAATTTCAGCACGTTTCAACCTTAATCATGTTTGAGAGTCACAGCATTTTTGCTGAACATCTTAAAGGGAGAAAGAGCCACATTGGTTTCATTTCAATAATAAGGAAAAATTAATGCTAATACATACCTTCAATGGATTCACTTAGGTATCCCAAACATTTTCTTCCATCAATATGGAAAATCCCCAGAAGTATGCATTATGAATTTTTCCTGTGGAGAGATGCAAGTGGTTACTGTAAGTTGTATAATTTCCTCTGAGTCTCATTAAAAAAAATTTTTTTTGTTAATCCTCACCCAAGAATATTTTTTCCATTGATTTTTAGAGAAAATAGAAGGGAGGGGGAGAGACAGAGAGAAACATTAGTTGGCTACCACATGCACCCCTATCAAGGTGGGATCAAGCCTGCAACTGAGGTGTGGCCTTGACTGGAATCGAACCCGGGACCCTCAGTCTGCGGGCCTTCACTCCATCCACTGAGCCAAACCGGCTAGGGCCTCTGAGTCTTTCAAAGTCCTGTTTTTTCTATATTTCAAGGTAAGTATCCCTGTTCTGCAGATCTAAAGCCAAGACATCATGAATTAGTTCCATTGCTTTTCGCTGTGAAACATAGGCCACCACATTTCAACCCATGCTCTCCTTGAAATCAGATGGCATTTTAAGGGAGAGAAGAAATCAGGTACAATTTTCTGGTCTAGTGCTTGTTTTACATATTTTTCACAGGGTATCTTAAGAATCTTAGATGAAATTTAAGCATCTTTACATGTTAGCTTTACTCTCTTTTAAAATTAAAAGGAAAAAAACACCCAATGAAGAAACATTCAACCATTTACTCTTGGATCTTTATGATCTGGAACATAAAATACAATCTGGGCAAAGCCAAACAGGACACTGGAGTTTTGAGAGACAAGGAGAATGCTGTATATTGAATTTAGGATTTTGAAATACCCCACTTTGGTAGTTTCCCATTTATCTTCATGCAGAAGGTCGACAGTGGCCTGTTGTTTTTTTTGTGTGGTAGATATTTTTTTGCTCTAGAGGAAGATTTCTCTGACTGATCTTGGATAGGCATTAAAAAAAAAAAAACCCTCTTCTACAAAACCAGAGACGTGCCCTATTTAATAGATGTTAAATTTTTCACTATTTTAATTTTTACATCACCCAAGTATCTACCTACCTCCTTAGAGCATCTATTTTTTATAGAAAATTTTAAATGAAGTTATTTGTTTACTTTCTAAATATTATTTGGCAGGTTAACAATAATACTTCTCTCACTTGTATTTTAGTCCTAATGATTAACAGTAAAAATGCTACTGAGTAGTCTGAGTCTGTACTTGGGGAGAAAAAGCTATTTCTTGATGGGCAAAATTCAAACTGAGATGGAGACTTCATAGGTCACTTACATAAATGAGTTAGGTTTCATGATAAGGGAAAGGGATTAGGAATTGAATTGACTAAGAGAGATTCTGGTTTAGTGGAAAAACTAATCTGAGATCAGAGTGTATTAAAAATGCTCACATTGTTAAAATGCCCATATTACCCAAAGCAATCTACCTATTCAATTGAATTCCTGTCAAAATACCAATGGCATTTTTTACAGAACTAAGGTAAATAATCCTAAAATTTATATGGAACTTCAGAAGACCCGGAATAACCCCAGCAATCTTGAGAAAGGAGAGCAAAGTTGGAGGTATCACACTACCTTATACCCACCTGTACTATAAGGTTATAGTAATCAAAACAACATGGTACTTGCATAAAAACAGACATATAGATCAATAGAACAGAAAAGAGAACCCAGAAATAAATCCACACCTACATGGCCAATTCATCTATGACAAATGAGGCAAGACAGTCTCTTCAATAGGTGGTGTTAGTAAAACTGGACAGTCACATGCAAAATAATGAAACTGGATCATTTTCTTATACCATATACAAGAATAAACTCAAAATGAACTAAAAAAATTTAAATGTAAGACCCCAAACCATAAAACTCCTAAGAAAATATAGGCAGTCAACTCTTTGACATTACCTTTAGTACTTTTTTTTTATATATACGTCTCTTCATGCAAGGGAAACAAAAGAAAAAAATAAACAAATGGGACTACATCTAAAGAGTTTTTGCATAGGGAAGAAAACCATCAGCAAAACGAAAAGACAACCTGCTGATTAGGAGAAGATATTCACCAATGATATATCTGATAATGGGTTAATATAAAAAATACATAAGGAATTCATACATCTTAACCTCAAAAAAAAGACAATTTAAAAATGGGCAAAATGGGCAGAGGACCTGAACAAACATTTCTCCAAAGAGCACATGCAGATGGCCAATAGATATATGAAAAGTTGCTCAACATCACTAGTGATCAGGGAAATGCAAATGAAAGTCACAATGAGATATACCACCTTACACCTGTCAGAATGGCTATCATCAATAAATCAACAAACAATAAGTGTTGATGAGGAGGTAGAGAAAAGGGAATGCTACCTCACTGTTAGTGGGATTTCAAATTGGTGGAGTCACTATGGAAGACGGTATAGATCTTCCTCAAAAAATTCAAAACAATTACCATATGACCTATTAATCCCACTTTGGGGCATTTACCCAAAGAAATTTAAAACACTAATTTGAAAAGATATATGCCTTCTCCAACACCGCCCCCCCCCATGTTTACTGAAACATTTTTTTAATATTTTTTATTGATTTCATAGAAGAAAGGAAAGGGAGAGATAGAAACTCAATGACCAGCTGCCTCCTGCATGCCCCCTGCTGGGCATCCAGCCTGCAACCCAGTCATGTGCCCTTGACCGGAATCAAACCCGGGACCCTTGAGTCCGCAGGCCAACACTCTATCCACTGAGCAAAACCAGCTAGGGCCTGAAACATTTTTCACGATAGCCAAGATATTGAAACAACTTAAGTGTCCATCAATAGATGAATAGGTTATGAGGATATAAAGTACAGCAGAGGGAACATAACTTGTATGGTGTCAGATGGGTACTAAACTTAGGGTGATCACTCATAAGTTATATAAATGTCTAATCACTATATTGTACACCTAAAACTAATACAATATTGTATGCCAATGATAATTAAAACCTAAAAATTTTAATGCTCACAAAACTGAAATTATCAAAATGCAGATAATTATTGTTAATTGCGTGGAGGAAACAGGGAAAGACACCCTTTGTCTTTCCTTTTGACCTGGAGCTGACAACTTTAGACATAAAATAATTCCCATGTTAAGAAATTAACTTTATTTCTCATTTACTTTTTATTTCTGGAAAGACATTGAGTTAGGGTGAGGGGCATTTATTAGATGGGCATCCTGAATACACTGTCCAGAATCTGCCCTTATTCTTCCCATAAGTAACCATGAGGAAGTCAAGAGTCTCCTTCAAATTCCACATCTATCAGATATTAGCTTCATGATCCTGGGCAATTCTGAATATCTAAGTTTCTTTCATTCACTTAAGAAGGGATAATATGTATCTCATTGGAATGCTCTGAATGTTAGAAAAACGAACATATGGGAAAACACCTAGAGACTATGCATAACCCTTGGTACATGTTAGAACAATGAGGGAGTGGGAGAAGTCTGAGATGAGTCCAGTAATCATTGCCCACAGGTTAAAATCTGTATGTTTAGCTGGGTATTCAGGGTCCTAGAAACTCTGCCCCTTTCTACTGTCCACGCCTTTTTCCACAATTGCTCTGCTGTAGTCAAACATTCTCTACTACATTGAATTTGCCCACCTTTATGTCTCTGTGCCACCACCTTCAGCTTCCATTTGCCAAAATTCTACTCATCTCTCAAGGGCCTCAAATTCCATTATCTCCTGGAATCTTGGGAAATCCCACCTTTTCCTCCCCTAAACCCTGGGCCTTGCTGTCTAGAGCACTACTGGAGATATAACCCACACACCCAGGGGTGGGCAAACTTTTTGACTCAAGGGCCACAATGGCGTCTTAAACTGAACCGGAGGGCCGGAACAAAAGCATGGATGGAGTGTTTGTGTGAACTAATATAAATTCAAAGTAAACATCATTACATAAAAGGGTACGGTCTATTTTTTTTTTTTTTAGTTTTATTCATTTCAAACGGGCCGGATCTGGCCCGCGGGCTGTAGTTTGCTCACGGCTGCTGACTAACTACTCATTGCCTCAACAGACTGCAACCTACTGCAAAGCATAGGCCACAGAGACAGAACCCACGTCTGTGCACTACAGAACGCGGTGCCTTGCCAAGAGTAGGTGCCGAATAGACTCCTGATTGAATGAACGCAGTTTCTCACTCTGCCCTGTTATGCTCTTGGACAAAACACTTTGCCTCTTTCAATCTCAGTTGACTCAGCTGTAAACAGAGGATAACAGCATGGATGTACTCCCCAGGTGTGCTGAGAAGAATAAACCAGTGACTGAAAAGCAATTTGAAAATGTAAAATGAAATGCCATGTATAAATGTTGCATAATCAAAATCATTTCCCTCTGTTTTATTATGTTTTATTTGGCTTTATATCTTGTAATCCTTTGTGGGTGTCACAATTTCATAGATGCAATACCATCCACATTAGCACCTAAATTCTCTTGGGTAATAAATGGTTGTGTGTATTATAGCTCCCAGCTACTTTTCTTGGCATACTTACATGTGAATCCGTCATAATTTGGGCTATTCATAATAATTAGTGATACAATTCATTTTTAAGGGATAATCCATTGTTTTCCTTCTTTGGCTGGCCAGTTATCATTCCCATATTGCTGACTCAAGGGAACTAACTTCCATTAAACCTGAAATCCAGACACTGCACACTCTGTTTAGAGACCAAATCGTCTAGGGCAGCGGTTCTCAACCTGTGGGTCGTGACCCCTTTGGGGTCACCTAAGACCATCGGAAAACACATATATAATTACATATTGTTCTGTGATTAATCACTATGCTTTAATTATGGTCAATTTGTAACAATGAAAATACATCCTGCATATCAGATATTTACATTACAATTCATAACAGTAGCAAAATTATAGTTATGAAGTTGTAACGAAAGTAATTTTATGGTTGGGGGTCACCACAACATGAGGAACTGTATTAAAGGGTCACGGCATTAGGAAGGTTGAGAACCTCTGGTCTAGGGGCTTACAATCTGAGACCTGGAAAGTGGACTGGGGTTTTGAAGCACTACCTGTTTTCTATGGCCCTTTTTGTCCCGAACTCTGAATCCCTCATTTG